CTGAGTCTCTGAGTGTCAGGGTACTGCATGGGGCCCCTCGCTTCATTATCACAGCCAGGCTGCTAGCAGGCAGGGTCTTCCCGGGAAAGAATAGGCCTTGGGGCCATGGCTCTACGTAGGTGCTAAGTCACACCATACAGGCTCTCTTTTTTCATTTTTTATTTTTTTGCTTCTGGCCCTGCACCCGGTGGTTTCCTGCTCCTATGCTGGCACTCACGTCAGTGTCATTGACCACTCATGAATCACGCTTCAGCTGAACTCTGAGGAAAGAAATACAATTGAGGGCCAGCAGGTGGCATGGTGGTTAAGGCACTGGACTCCCACAAAGCAGACTACAGTTCAAGTTCTAGACCCAGTGTCTTGAAAATCACATTGGACGCATGTGTGTGCATCCCCAGAGGAGGATGAAGGAGAAGGAATTGCAGCATGGCCATCCTCCTATCTCTCTCTGTCCCTTTCTGATAAGCCACACACGCCCTATGGCAAAAACCTAAAAAAAAAGAAAGTAAACACAACTGGGAAAAAGAAAACAAGAGCAGACATATCAGAATCTCTCTCTCGGTGTGTGATCTTGGGAGTGCCTGGCTCTACCCTAGAGCATGGCCCTGAAGTTGGGTCTGCTGGGAGGAGCCCGTGATCCAAAGGGCCAGAGTGCAGCCTGAAAAAGTGCTTGCTCCAGCCTCATTGAGCATGGCTTCCTCCTTGCAACAGCACAGAAGTGTGGTGAGCGCTGAGGGGTGCTAGGCCAAGCAACTGAATTTGGGGACTCTGGCTTTCAGGAGTCCGGCTCATGAAACCTTGGGGACTGAGCACAGGCCTCCCTGCTCACCTCCCGTGTGGAAGGACAGGCTCAGCCAATGAGGGCAGAGAAAGCTGCACTCCAGCCCTGACTGTCCCCTCCCAAGTCACTGTGTGACCATAGGCCAGATGCCATACCTCCACTCCAGAAATGCATCTACTCTATTTGCTGGGAGGGTCATTGCTGGTCTTAGAGATGGCATGTGGGAGAAGTTATCGAGCTATTAGACTGGTATTATTAAGACCGTTAGGAACCTGGGAAATGCTTCTGGGTGAGGAAGAAGGCCCAGAATATGAACTATGTACCATTCAGGCCACAGATTTCCAACTGCCCAGAAAGCATGTGTAGAAACCAAAAGGTACCTAGGAAGGCCACACAGCCTGATGACAATGTGGACGCAGGGGGACACCTTCTTTCTGCTGAGTCTATGAGAGCCAGAACGCTGGCAAGAGCACTAGAGGGGAGGCCAGGGCCACAGAGGGGAGCCAGAGGGGATGCTGTGGCTGCAGCTGGTGGGGAGCCTCTGAGGGCTGTCCATGGCCCACACCCAGACCTGCGCAGGCCTGGGAGATCGGCCGAGGGTCTGCCAACCAGGCTGGGAAGCAGGTTGATCCAGCTGATTGGAGTGTGTGGCTGGGAGATACCAGCCAGGCCAGGATAGACCTAAGGTCCCAGGTTGTTTCCCGTCCCTTCCCCTAGTTGATCATGGCCTCCTCTAGGCAAGCCTGGCATTGCCGGCCAGCTGGCCAGGCCTCAGGACTGACGAGGGATGTAGGGGAAAGGGAGGGATGTAGGGGAGAGGATGTAGGGAAGGACAATAGGACACTGGGTGGGGGGTGGGGGGCAGCCCTTGAGCTATGACAGAGCCTCAATTCTTGCAGGGAGAGCTGGCAGTGGCAAGACAGGACACCAAGTGGGAAGGGGGCAAGTGGGCAGTATGAGAAGGGCCAGACATCTGGATATTTGGCCAACACTCCAAAAGCTGTTTCTTCACACTTCAGGCTTTGAAGCATTTGGATTTCCCTAATGCTCTTAGCCATAGGAAGCAACCAGGGCTCACTCTCCTGGGCTTTCCCCCCACAGCTGGCAGGGGCCCTGGTGCTGGCCGCCCTTGCCCACCTGAGGAGGCTTCTGCTCCCCACCTGGCAGCGACCAGCTAGCCCCTTCTCAGATGCCTTCGCCAGGCTGCCATGGCGTGTTCCAGGAAGACGTCAGCAAGACTTACTCCCCAGCCTTCCCATGTCTGCCCAGCGGGCTGCAGCCTGGTACTACGGGGTCCTTCTCATCGTCATGGCCACGCTGTGTTTCCAGATGGTATGTAAACATGCCCCAGGCCTCTCCGCCAAGGTGCCGGACGATCCGGGTGCCATCAGGGTGGCACTATGGCGCATGTGCTGCAGCAGCCGAACTCGTGATGAACCCTGAGGCCCATCTGACCTGCCCTGGGGGCACTGGCCATGGCCATGGCCGGTTTGATTCTCCCTTCGCCTGACACAGTCCAGCAAGACTACAGCCCCCAGGAGCCACCTTCAGCAGGGAACTGCCCTGGCCCCCCTCATTCTGTGCTGAGCACCTCTCTTCTTGGTCTGAACTTTGTCTCACACAAGCTCATGCTGCTGCAGGGGTCTCCCTTGCCCTTTTTTTTTTTTAATTATGATTTCTGGCCTACATGTAATTGTTATATTCTCTTGCCTGCTTATCTCAATCTTTCCATCTGGGAAGCATTTCACTCCCGCCAGCCTCCGCTGGACACTTCTCTGGGTCAGGGCCTGTTTCCCATTCTCCTATTTATCTGCCATTGGCAAATCTCATCATGTCACCACCCTAGGTCAAATTCCTTTAATGGAGAAAGAGGCTTACCCACAGCCTTGCCCTGCCACCCCCGAGGGCCAACAGATTTAGCAAATCAAATACAGGACGTGCATTCCCAGTTAAGTTTCAGGAAACATCTAATAGCATTTCAGTGTTAGTATACATCCCCTGCAGTGGCTCAGGAATACTCATATTAAACAATTTGTTGTTTACCTGAAATTACAATGTAGCTGGGTGTGGTACATTTTATCTGGCAACCCTGCCCGCCTCAACTCAGTGAGCAGAGAGGTCTCTGGAACGGAACTGGAACCCTTCCCATTTTTTTTTAGAGGTTTTTGCTATAGGGCGCATGCACTGGCCAGAAAGACAGAGTGAGACAGAGAGATAGAAAGTGAGAAATCACTCCCCCCCACCCCCGGGGGGATGGCCACGCTGCAATCCCTTCTCCTCCATTCTCCTCTCGGGATCTTGGGCACACACGTGCACGCGCCCGGCGTGAGTTTAAGCCACCAGGTCCAGGACTCCAACCACGCTTGGTTGGAGAGTTCAGTGACATAGCCATTACGCTAACTGCTGCTGGTCCCCCATTTGAGATTACCATGTGGGATTGCCCCATAGTGTCACGTTTTAACATAGTGCCGCTATATGGACTCCCTGATTGTTGTTTTCAATTCCTTTATTGGATTTGTAGTCTTACAAAGATTTTCTCCCCGTCTGTGGCTTGTCCTTTCATTGTCTTAACAGTGTCTTTACAGTGAATAAGTTGCTCATTTTGATAATTGCCAATTTTGTTTATAGATTCTTTTCTGGCCTCACATCTAAAAATGAATTGCTAACCCCCAGGTCACACATATTTTCTCTTGTTCTCTTGTAGAATTATTTTTTCTTTTGAGAGGTTTTTTTGTTATAGGACACATGTGCTCACCAGAAAGACAGAGAGAGGCAGAGAGACAGAAAGTGAGAAATCACCCCCCGGGGCAATGGCCATGCCACAATCCCTTCTCCTCCATTCTCCTCTTGGGATCTTGGGCACACATGCACACGTGCCCAGTGTGAGTTTAAGCCACTGGGTCTGGGACTTGAACTGTGGTTAACCACATGGGAGTCCAGCGACATAGCCATTATGCCAACTGCTGGTCCCAGAATTTTTATAGTTTCATGTTTTACATTTAGGTTAATGATCCTTTTTTTTTTTTTTTTTTTTTTTTGGAGGGGTTTTTTTTTTTTGTTTTTTTTTTTTTTTGGAGAGGTTTTTGCTATATGGTGCATGTGCTCACCAGAAAGACAGGGAGAGACAGAGAGACAGAAAGCAAGAAATCACCCCCGAGGGGGGATGACCACGCCGCAATCCCTTCACGTGCCCAGCATGAGTTTAAGCCACCAAGTCTAGGACCCAAACCACGGTCAACTACATGGAAGTCCAGTGACATAGCCATTACGCCAACTGCTGGTCCCTTGATGATCCATTTTGAGTCGGTTTTGGATCAGGTGTGAGGAGTGGATCAGAGCTCATGTTTTTTATAGATGATACCCAGGGGTTCCAGCACCATTGCTTTCAAAAGCTTATCTTTTCTTTGTTGAGCCAATTTGTTGCACATTTGTCAAGAAGCAGCTTAGTGTGTCTGTGTGGTCCTCTTTCTGGGCTCTCTGTTCTACTCCACTGAGCTTTCATTTTGCCAGCTCCACAGGGTCTTGGTAGTCAGTCATGGAATAGCATCAGAGAGTCCTCCAATGTTGGTTAAATTTTGTTTCTTTGTTCTTCACTTTGGGCTATTCTAATTCTTTTTTTTTTAAAGAATTACTTATTAAATTTTACTTGTTATTACTTTTTAATTTTGCCGCAAGGTACATGTGCTCACCAGAGAGAGAGAGACGGCAGGTAGGGGTGGGCGAGAAAGCAAACTGCCAGGTTCGAAGCTTGAACCGTAGTCAGCCATGTGAGAGTCCAGTGCCTTTACCACCACGCTACCTGCTGGTCTAGCTATTCTAATTCTTTTGCTTTCCCCTGTAAGTTTTAGAATCATCTTATCTATACCTACCCAAAAGAGATGTTGAGATTTTGATTACAGTTGCTATGGAAATATAAATTTAATTTGGGGAGAATTGGCTTCTTAATATAAGGAGTCTTTAAAAAGTTCATGAAAATGAGAACCAGCAGTTAGCGTAATGGCTGTCGCTGGACTCCCACGTAGTCAACCGCGGTTCACATCCCGGACCCAGTGGCTTAAAACTCACGCCGGGCGCGTGTGCGTGCGTGCCCAAAATCCCAAGAGGAGAATGGAGGAGAAGGGATTGCGGCGTGACCATCCCCCCTGGGGGGTGATTTCTCGCTTTCTGTCTCTCTGTCTCTCTCTGTCTGTGGCGAGCGCACGCACCCTATAGTGAAAAACCTCTCCAAAAAAAAAAGTTCATGAAAATGGAATTAAATGCATGAGTCTATTTTAGTGCAAACATTTTTGAAATCTGTGTTTACTTTTTCATGATAGACATTTTCCATTAACTTTTGAAGACCCCGCATAATACTAAACTTTTCAATCCTAGGTTTCTGTATGTCCTTCCATTTACTTACATCCTCTTTATTTTTTAAAGGTTTGGTTTTTTAAAAAAAATATATATTATTATTCATTTTATTTATAGTAATTATTATTATTTTTTAATTTGACCAGAGAGAGAGAGAGAGAGAAAGGGAAGGTGTGAAAGCAAGCTGCCAGGTCCAAGACTCAAACTGCAGTTGGCCATCTGGGAGTCCAGTGCCTTAACCACCACACCACCTGCTGGCCCCGTTTTTTTATTTCTTTCATCAGTACTTTATAGTTGTCACCATACAGACATACATAATTGTGTGCAGTTTTATAGTCTAACTAGATGTTTCCTTGAAGAGCAAGAAGCTTAGATCAGTACATTAGGTCATAGGGGTTTGTTCAGGAGACCAAGAAACCCATCATGCAGTGGGAGAGGTGTGTGAGTTGATCCCCAAGGGGTAGTTCAGCTCATGGTGGTGCTGGATGCTTATTTTCTGCAGGGGTGGCGCAGAGGTAGAGGCAGTGGGAAGGCCCACACTGGAGTTCTGCGGTGAACAGACAGAATGCTGGACAGGACTACTGGAACCAGAAATGGGGACCTCCAGTTTCATGCCAAGGCAGTTGCACTCACAAGAGCCAGGCCTGTCAGTGCCCCTCCTGTAAAGCCAGGAGGTCTCAGCTCTACACACAGCTACACTGTGCACCAGTGGCCTCCTCTCTCAAGCACCTGGCCGTCCTTGTGGAGCTTTGACACATTGTCAAGAGTTCCAGAGATTTGGGGTCATTCAAGCACAAAGAGATGACCATGAAAGGAACACACACGTTTTATTTGGATGACATTTTAGTAAGTTTCCATGTGTGAGATGTCCCTCATGCTGTGAGACCGTCCGGAGGCTTACCGCATAGCAGGCAAGGAAGTTCAGGAGATTAGGGCAAGGACTATCTCGGGGGAGAGGCATTTGGTGGAGCTCTGGTGGAAGGGGCCTCTTCAGGGTAGCAATGGCTCGGGACCCCTTGCATCAGTGGCAGTAGCTGTCTCATGGGGTTTTGCAGGATACGCAAAGGAGACAGGCTCTGTGTGCCTAAAATTTTACTTGTTTGGGTTGTTTTTAAAGCATGCGATGTGTAAAAAATTGAGTTTGTTGCCAGTGAACTTTGGAGCTAACAGGTCCCAGCCAGCTGCATATAAATAAACCACCTCGGGCCAATACCATTGGCTCATTTAGACAACATAGGAGAAGACACGTGGCCTGCTGGGCCTGTGGCTGTTCTTGCTTCCCTGGCACAGGCATGCACTCTCTTGGTGGGGCTCACCCACAGCCTGGCATGGCCCATCTGGGCACCCCAAAACTGAAATGCAGATTTTACCTATCCAACGTATATTGTGTTACTACTCTTGGCCCTCTTCTATGAAATATTGAAAACATCTTTTATAACCAGATTAATTTCCATTGCTGACTTCATCAGCAATTTAATTCACTTGAGATAGTCTCCTGATTTCTTTTTACCAAAGCAATTACCATCTTACCCAAATGCCATAAAATAGCAAAATCAGATTTAATCACCATTTCAAAGCTGATCAAATTAACAAAGCTATTTTTTAGTTTACTAACATGAACTTTATCTTTTTGTTTTCCTCCTCTCCAGCTGAGAGGTTCCCTCATGACTTTTTCCAGAAAAAGAAAACCTTTCCAAAGCAAGCATCTGTTGAGACTTAGAGATGTGGCTGTCTATGCCTGGGGGAAGGCTCTCACCTACCTGGGGCTGGAAAAGCCAATGCTGAAAGAGCCTGAAACAGCAGAGAACCAGGTAAGCCATGGGATCTTGGAATAATACACACACCACACTCTCCACGTGATAGCTCTACTGTGCAATCTTGCTTTTAGTTATAAAAACATGATTGTTATTGTGGGCCACGCATCCCAGTTAGCTCTCCACTGTAGTGGAACTTGGAGAATTTTCCCTTGAAATTCTAAAGAACTTTGGAGTTTGCCAAGGGCGTTGTTCCCCATTAACTCTGGCCCTGTGCAGTGGAGCGATGGAGTCTGTGGTCTCCCCAGGGCACGCACCCACAGTCCTCTGTCCCCTTTACATTTAGGATTTGTTTTGTGTAACAGCTATGACACCCAGACTTCTACTTAGATCCTTGAGTCCCTGCCACAGTGTTGGGCAGGTTACACCCCAGACTTGGCTGCAAACCAATTAAACCAGCGTTTGCACTCTGGATACCTGACCATCTTCCATGGTTGGTTTGTAGGGTACCCAGCGCCATTCTGAAACCAGTCGTGCATGATCACGATCAGTGCATGTTTATAAGGCTTCATTGTTCGTTGTGTGCTTCCCTCTCTGCTGTGGCCTTTCAATCCCATCACTCATCCTTTATGCAAACCATAGCATTTGCCCGCATGGCTACACGTGCACAGTATAACAAGGGAGCTGAGATACAGAGAGAGAAGAACAACACCCAGGTCTCTGACACTAGGGTCCAGGATGTCTTTTTTCCCTTGTTTAATTGCTAGAGAGTGTGTGCACTGGTCAGATAGAAAGCAAGAGAAAGCACCCCTCCCCCGATAGGACATGGTCAAGTCATAATCCCTTATCCATTTCTCCATCCTGTCAGGATTTTGAGTATGTACACATACACCTGGCATGTTTTTCAAGTTGACAGAGCCAGGATTCAGATGACAGTAGGCCATTTGAGATTGGGCTCTCCTAGCCACTAGGATACAGGGCCAGCCCCAGGAAACTGAGGTTTTTGAATGCTCATCTAATTTTCTTACCTTCAGAATTACTACCTGGATGAATTTGTAAATCTGCTGGATGAACTTCTGATGAAGATTAATGGTTTATCTGACAGTCTGCAGCTCCCTCTTCTAGAAGAACCTATCAGAAGCACCATGAAGGAAAAGGAAGAAGGTAGCTCCCAAGCTACTGTGGTAAGATTATGCAAATTTTTTTTGTCAGCCTTCTTTATACCTATTTTTTTTTTTAAGTTTTAAAGTAGGTTTGAGATAGTTGCTGTTTCAAATTATAAGGCCTATTTGCATAAATATACTGTAAGGATAATACTGATGGTAAGATGTACTCTGGCCAGAACTGGAGAACCACATAATAATTTAAGTTGTCTGTCATGACTTCCAGTTTAAAATGGTGGTGCAAGTGTCTATTCAATCCTCTAATTTGGATTGAACTAGAATCTTTTTTTTGTCAGCCTTCTTTATACCTATTTTTTTTTTAAGTTTTAAAGTAGGTTTGAGATAGTTGCTGTTTCAAATTATAAGGCCTATTTGCATAAATATACTGTAAGGATAATACTGATGGTAAGATGTACTCTGGCCAGAACTGGAGAACCACATAATAATTTAAGTTGTCTGTCATGACTTCCAGTTTAAAATGGTGGTGCAAGTGTCTATTCAATCCTCTAATTTGGATTGAACTAGAATCAACAGAGACTGATTGAAAACAGAAATGGAAACTCTATCCTCTCAGAAACTAAGAAACACCTAGGACCCAGAACATGACCGACAGCTGCCAAATACACTGAAAATTAGACTAAAGGGAGAAAGGATGCTGCTACTTCCAAGAACACATAGAGTTCTCCAAGTGAGACAGCATAACCTAGGGACCAACCAAAGAGCCCCAATTTGGAAGAAAAAATTATAGAACCAAAAAGAGTTAAGGGAATCTCCCTCAATCTTAAAGCCACAGGGTTCTGGGAACCTGTAGCCCTGAAAGAAACCACGCAAGAAGTCATCTTTGTAGGAAACTTTTTGTTGATGTGGCATCCTGGAAGAGCCACAGGTGGATCACAGACCGAGAGCCACCCCACTTGCCAACTAAAGAACAATCAATGTAATTCTACACACTATGTGTGAGGCGCACAGAGGAAAAGAAAGACGTGTGCTAGACCCTACTGATAAGTATACTCTAATGGTAACTTTCCTAAGGTCCAGGGAGATTCTCTGCTATGTCCACATGGCAATGAGTGTGGTCCCTAAACAGAGAGGAGAGTTCTGGGACTGCCCCAAGCTCAGTTCCTCAGCCCTCCCCTGGCCTCATTAGCAACCACTTAGGGAAGAACCCTCTCATGCAAAGATAATTTCTGTATGTGGAGAGGAATACTACTAATAAAAGCACATCTTAATTAGAGATATGCAAATATACTGCAAGAAAAAGTAGCAAATAAAAATGACTAAGAAAAGGTAATATAGATCAGACATTTGAAAATAGTTGTCATGCAGGATCAGACAGTGGCTCAGTGGCAAAATACGATGCTCTATGCAGCTGACACACAGGGGAAGATTCTAAGTCCATGTCCAGAGACTTTTCTGAGGCTGCCAGGCAAGTGCATTGTCATGACCCAGCACTAACTGAAAGCTAAAGATGCAGCATCGAGATCCTGTTGGGATCCTGACCATAGCATGGTGGTTCAGAACTGCACAGAGAAAGCCAGAAACCCTATGGCTGACCAAGGTTCAAGTCCTGGCCCTGGTGGCTAGAAAAACATCCAGAGCCTGAATGCCCAGGAACCTGACAAGATAGAAAATTGGAGGAAAAAAAGACTGAGACATTACCAGCCCCACTGGGGGGGTGACGGGGCACTTTCCTCAAAAATTACCTTGTTGGAAGTGATGTCTTTCTGTCTCTCTTGTTCATGAAAGTAATAAATAAATAAACTTTTAAAAAATGAAAGAAAATTAGATAAAAAGTGTAACCAAGATGTTTTCCACACAAAAAAGTAAATTAATTTTAAAAATGCTTCTTTTAAATGATAGTTCATATCCAAGATGAAATATAAAGACAAAAATTAAATTGGTGGAATTGAGGGGAAAAAAATGGAAAAGGGAATAAAGAGACCAGAAATAAAGGCAAAGTAAAAAAAAAAAAAACAAAAAAAAAACAAAACAAAACAAAACAGGATCACAGACAAGGGCGTGAAAGATATGACCGAAGTTCTGCAAAAAAAACTCAACAAAATGAGGTCTAAAAGAAAAAGTTATGGGCACCAGCAGTTAGCCTAATGGTTATGTCGCTGGACTCCCATGTAGTCAACTACAGTTTGAGTCCCAGACCCGGTGGCTTAAACTCATGCAAGGTGTGTGTGCGCCCAAGATCCCGAGAGGAGAATGGAGGAGAAGGGATTGTGGCGTGGCCATCCCCCCGGGGGGTGATTTCTCACTTTCTGTCTCTCTGTCTCTCTGTCTTTCTGGCGAGCACACGCATCCTATAGCAACAACCTCTCCAAAAAAGAAAAAAAGAAAAAGTTATGATATATAGTGATTTAATATATGAAGAATAATAATAAAATAAAGTGACAAAAAAGGGAAAGTTAAAATTGATTTTAGGAAAAACAATGCACAGGGAATTCAAAGAAGAATATGCAATAGACAGAGAAAGGGTATGTTAATTAGTGTCTTTTCCTGAGCAAAAATTTTCTCCTCCAGAAAATATATTTAAAAGATAATTTAAGAAAATTCTCCTGAAATAACGTATAGTCCTATATATTTAAAGAAAAACTGTGTTGCAGGGAAGAGATGGATTCAAACCTGCTAAAAGTGGGACAAATCCCTAAAAGCTAGTTATTGAACTTAAAAATAAAAATAATCTGGGCCAGCAGGTAGTGAAGCAATTGAGGCAGTGGACTCCCACATGGTTGACCAGGGTTTAAGTCCCAGACCTGGTGGCTTGCTTTCTCACTTTCCCTCTCTCTCTTTCTCTGTCTCTCTCTCTGGTCAAATTGAAAAATGATAATAATAAATAAAATAATTCTTAAAAATAGATATCTAGGGCACCAGCATAATGGCTATGTCACTGGACTCCCACATAGTCGACCGCGGTTAGCGTCCCGGACCCGGTGGCTTAAAACTCACGCCGGGCACGTGTGCATGCGTGCCCAAGATCCCGAGAGGAGAATGGAGGAGAAGGGATTGCAGCATGACCATCCCCCCTGGGGGGTGATTTCTCGCTTTCTGTCTCTATGTCTCTCTCTGTCTGTCTGGCGAGCGCACGCGCCCTATGGCGATAAACCTCTCCAAAAAAAAGAAAAAAAATAGATATCTAGATTGCTTTTCATCCCCAAAATCAAGTCACCTCTAAGTGATTTAAAATTATTTCAAACTTATTTATTGCTTCTACATTATTTTCACTATAAAAATATCTAAATGTATATATCAGTGGAAAATTGGTTAGAAAGTTAGAAAAACTACAATATTTTTAATGCCAGAGGGTACATGCATTCACCAGAGAGAGAGACAGAGAGAGACGAGAAGTGTCCCACTGGGATATATTCATGCCACAATCCTTTATCTTCTGTTACTTCTTCTCATCAGGATTTGGGGCATAGGCATGATTGGCCACCTGGAATCTAGCTCCTTTTACCCCTGTGCTATGAGACTAACATTTAAAAAACACAATTTTTATAGAACAGAAGATATAATGACCATTGTGTGAAAAATTAGAAGAGAAAGACTATATAAAGAAGAGAAAAATATAGGGTAGCAGTTATTACCTTATTATTTTTTGGAATTGAAAAAAATTAATAAAATACTTACATATGGATATACACATTATATAAGGTTAACATCATTATTTTGGGATGGTAGGTTTAAAAGAAACAAATGATTATGTATATTGCTAAATTAGTGGTCAGGGAAACATCTACGGTGTATAATATGAAAATAAATGGAAGTGAACTCAGCATGTATTCCACTCAGATGGTCAGGAAAAAGTTCACACACACAGCAAAGCAAAAGAAAGGAAACGGTAAGGATGAAAACATGACTTAGAAAATCAGCAGTGAGATGATTCTTCTAGCAAACAATTTAAAAGTAGCAGTGAGATGATTCTTCTAGCAAACAATTTGATACATTATTAGCTTATACATACTTAAATAAAATTAAAAAGCTAATATAAAATAAAATGAGAAAAGAAAAATAAGGAATTAAATGTATTCTTAAAAATTTACATAAAACAGGTCCAGCAGTTGGTGTAATGGCTATGTCGCTGGACTCCCATGTAGTTGACTCTGGTTTGAGTACTGGACCTGGTAGCTTAAACTCACGCCAGGCACATGTGCGTGCATGCCCAGGATCCTAAGCATCAGGTGTGGTGGCATCACCTATAATCCCAGTGACATCGAGGCTGAAGTAGAGGATCTTGAGCTCCAGGCTGGCCTGGGCAACAGAATGAGACCCTGTCTAAAAACAGGCAGGCATGGGGTGGTACCTGTAGTCCCAGCTGGAAGCTGAGGCAGGAGGATCATGGCCTGGCTTGGTGTGGTCCCATCTTAAACAAAACAAACAAACAAACAAACAAACAAACAAACAAAAATAACAGAAATCTGAAACAGTATTTGAAGGTCGTTGAGCCAAGATGATTTCACAGGTAAAATACTTGTGGGTCTAGAGTGTTCTTCAAACTTCTCTATAGCAGAGACTCCAAGAAAGTTTCTAGGTTTGTTTTTATGAAACAAGCAATATGCTGATATGAAATTTGGACAAAAATACCACAAATAAAAAAAAAAAAAACACTACATGACAATCTTACTGATTTCAATACTAAAAAAATCTAAATAAAGGACTAGGAAATAGAATCTAGCAGCAGATTAAAAGAATAATATCCTATGGTCATTTGAGCTTTAAAATCAAGAATAGAAATGCTTTAATATTAAAATGTATTAAATAAACTTCACTTAAAAAAGAAAGAAACTATCATTTAATTTTACCCATGGTTGCATTTGATAACATTCAACATCTATTCCTCATTCTTAAAACATACTCTTCATAAAAAAAAAAAAAAAGAAATTATTTATTTTTCCAAAACTAAGACTACATTTCAAGTTAAAAGCTAGTGCTATATCTACTGGAATGTACAAATAGTTTATCCAGAAAAGAGATTAATATTTAAAGAAATATAAATATAGCCAGAGAACTAAGAG